GATGCTGCTGTGCTGGTGGTGGTGGTGGTGGTATGGTGGTTGGCTGCTGCTGCTGCTGCTGCTGCTGGTGGTGGTGGTGGCTGGTGCTGCTGCTGTGTGCTCCACGGCCGATGCTGCTGCTGCTGGGTGCTGGTGGTGTGCTGCTGCTCCTCCACGCCGATGCTGCTGCTGTCTGCTGCTGCTGGTGGTGCTGCTGCTGCTGCTGCTGCTTGGTGGTGGTGTGGTGGCTGCTGCTGCTGCTGCTGCTGCCTGCTGTGGTGGTGGTGCGTGCTGCTGCTGGCTGCTGGTGGTGGTGGTGGGTGGTGGTTGCGGCACCACGATCAAGGTGTAATGAATCAAGACTGATTAAACCTATAAACCTCATACATAATAAATATAATCAGCTCTTGATTGAATATATAGAGTAAATATACACAAGATCCATCCTAATGCTTTCCTCCTATGCTAAACGATATGACTAGGGAAAAGGATAGTTTTGTCTTTGGTTCGCCGTTGTGTTGATGAACGCATATGTAAATTAATTTGAATGTAAGTGAGAGCTCAAAATTTGTTGAGTCACGCATGGGTTATAAACACATTATCAAGCGTGAATAAAAACACCGTTGCTTTGATTCACTCCTGATATTATCAGGGAATGTGTTTTCATTCACTCCCGGTTTTCATAAAATAAATATCTCTAAGCCAAATATACATGCGGGCAAGTCGAAGGTAACTTCACCACGTGTTCCTCATTAGCATATTGTTTGCTTCGAACAGTTACACATTGCGCGCCTCTGCCGCGTGTGCAATATCAGCGATCAGCGAGTGCCATATGGTCCCGCCACGTCAGGTTATTGTTGCTACATATAGAGCGGTGTCGCGGTGAACCATGAATGACCTTGAAACCCTTTGTTCTCTCTCGCGTGCGTGAGAGCCACACGCATGAGCGATATTTGACAGCTTTACCGCCTTATATAAAAAACCACATTACTCATGAGGCGATTGTTCCCCGATTTGAGCACTTTTCAGGGAACTCCCCCCCCCCACTTTCCCCCGCAGACGCGAGCGGAATAAATCTGTCTGCATTAGCACAACCGCGGCCTACTCTCGGCCGGGTTTCGCTACCTACTGTTACCAGCTTTTTTATTGTGTGGCCAATCGCATTTCCATGTCGCGTACGCCACGACTCTAAGGGGCACGCCAATCAATTTTCTTTGGCGATGGCTTCTAAGGGTATAAGTATAAGCCTTTAATGAATTTTCGCGTGTGCAATCGTCTCGTTGGCGCCCAGCCAAATCACCGCCGTGCCTGCCGCGACAGCTATTAAAGTGGTGGTGACAAGGCAGCTAAATATAATCCTATATTATTTAGCTCCTTAGGTGGCGACCGCAGGACGGTTTATGAATGCAGCGCCGTTTCTTATTAAATACAAATCGGCGGCACTCACCTGCTAGACCTCTGTTCGGCGGGCGCGGGAAGCTGTGCGTTGAATGATTATTATATTATAATGTTACAGTTAGTATAGAAATCAGTGGGGGTGACACACGTAACCTGATGCCACGCGCACGGCTGCCTCATGTGCTGCATCGCAGGCGCCCCCTGGTGTGAACACGCTGGAGGCCGGCGAGGAGGTTATGTTGGTAGATAGGTATACAATGGCGTTAAATTAATGACAAATAAAATTGTAATTACATATAATTACAACATAATACATTACATGTACGTATGTTGCTTTGGGGTAATACAAAGTAATAATAAAGAGTAATAACAAAAAATAATAATGACAATGTCATATAACCCCTTGAGTTATGACCCCCTGGCAGCAAGCAAGTGCGGCACGTGAACGGCAGGGAAAACAATTTAATGTTACAGCTGGGGAAGCCGTGAAGTGGGCAGTGTCTGTTATGTAGGCCCCATAACAGAATTCTGGCCAATGTTGTTATCAGCACAGTAAGATGATACAGGTGATAATAAGCGTGTCCTTTTGCTCTACTCTGCATGCTAATAAACCGTAGGTTAATGGTAAATGTGGTTATGCGTAACATTAACCGTGCAGTATAGTAATGCTTGAGAGGGTCGATGTGCCCCAGGTACTATTTCGGGAGGGTACCCTGGTACGGTTTGATATATCGGAATGCTACCCTGGTCTCTAATATGCCGGACCGCTTACCTCGCCCATACTCCACTAACGAGTCTAGGGATGTCGCCTACGCCTACTCCCTTAACCCTAACCCTAACCATATCAGATACATACCAGGGTACGTTCCGATATATTCGAACTGTACCAGGGTACCTTCCGATAGTACCCTGGCAGCGACATAGACCCTCATGAGCAATAGTGTTACCAGCAGGGTATGTTTCTGTAGTGTTTAGCCAAGCAGTGATGACTTCTGTAGTGTTAGCAGACAGTGTTGTTCTGTAGCATTAACCAAGCAGTGTTGCTCTGTAAGTGTTAGCAAGGCAGTGTGTTCTGTAGTTGTAGCCAGACAGGTTGTACGGTTGCTCTTGTCAGCCAATTAACCTAGCAGATGTTGTTCTGTAGTGTTCGCCAGCAGTGTTATTCTGTAGCATTAAACAGCCAGTGTTTCTGTAGTTTAGCAAGGGCAGTGTTGTCTCTGTGCATAAACCAGCCGTGGGTTCTTAGCATTAACCAGGCAAGTGTTGCTTCTGTAGCATAGCAGTGTGTCTGGGGTTAGCCAGGCAGTGTTGTTCTGTAGCATTAAACCAGACAGTGTTGCTTCGTGTGAGTGTTAACCAGACACGTGTTGTTCTAGTAGCAGTTAACCAGGCAGTGTTGTTCTGTAGCATTGACCAGGCAGTGCTGTTCTGTAGCATTAACCAGACAGTGGCTTATTCTTGCTGACAGCAGGGTTGATCTCTTACAGCGGCAGTGTTATTTCTGTAGCATTGGGACGCAGGCAGGTTTGTTATTCTGTAGCATTGACCAGGCAGTGTTGTTCTGTAGCATTGACCAGGCAGTGTTATTCTGTAGCATTGACCAGGCAGTGTTATTCTGTAGCATTAACCATGTAGGCAGTGTTGTTCTGTGGTGTTAGCCAGGCAGTGTTGTTCTGTAGCATTAACCAGACAGTGTTGTCCTGTAGTGTTAACCAGACAGTGTTGTTCTGTAGCATTAACCAGGCAGTGTTGTAGTTAGTGCTATATTGTCAACCAGGCAATGATTCTACGTACTTCATCTAAAATCATCTGAACAATGGTTTAAAAAATCACAAACAAGTAGATCACTAACGCGTAAACCATCATGCGTTGTTGTTTCAGCCGGGGAACCCGGCGCGAGCGAGGCCGAGCGAGAAGGAGCCGCGGCCGAGGGGCGCGAAACAGAGGAGCCAGACAGCGGAGCACCCAGCACGCAGTCAGAGGAGGCCGCCGCTAAAGAGGAAGCCGAAGAGGAAGCAGGCGGCGACGGAGAAGCCAGCGAGAATGCAGAGGGGAGCAAGGAGGAAGCTGCGAATGAAGATGAAGCCAGTAAAAGCCCAGAGGAAGTCAGCAAACCTGAGGCTGACGCCGACAAAGCACCGGTAGAGGGCAGCACAGACGACGCGGAGAAATCCGAGAACGCGAAAACCCCCGAAAAAGTGGACGGAGCCGAGGACGACGGGAAAGAGAACAAGGTGAAGCCCAATAAAAAAGAGGCAGCAGCCGAGACGGTCAAGGACGAGTGAGACCTCCTCGCCCTTGCATCCGACCATTGTTCTTCTAACCGTCCGTAAAGCGGAATTAGACGGAATTTTCCGTAAGCGTCCTCGATGTCTCGCGAGATTTCTCGCAGATTTTTCGGCGCTTTCGCTGACGTTTGCGCGGCGCGCGCCTGCGCTCACCTGTTCTCGATCGCAGGACGATCGTGGTGGGATTTTGCGCGCGGTGATTGTCGGTGGGACACTGGGACGTTCTCGTGGTTGTGTCTGACATGACCGATGTCAACGTTGATCACCATCGGCCCCCCTTCCCCCGCGCGCGCGAAGCAATGCTCGCCTCACGTGACCAGATTTGTTTTAGCACCGTGGTCGGTAGCATAACTAGCAACCTACCAACGGTCAGTAGAATAACTACCAACGGCCAGTAGCATAAGCAGTGACTGTCTGTAGAATAACTACCAACGGCCAGTAGCATAAGCAGTGAATGTCAGTAGCATAACTACCAACGGCCAGTAGCATAAGCAGTGACTGTCAGTAGAATAACTACCAACGGTCAGTAGCCCGGTGGGGGGGGTCACTATATATGCCGGTATTACCCCATGTGCGTTCTCACTAAAAATAATAGGCCCCCTAGTGCAAACTGCACATTGGAAAACCCTACCCCCTATTGCAGACACAATTGAAGAATACCACCCCCTATTGCATACACAATGAAAATATCCCACCCCCTATTGCATACAAAATGAAAGAGTCCTACCCGGACCCCTACCCCCTATTGCGAGGTCTTGCATTCAAGTGGAGGGCAAAGAGTGGAGGGAATGGAGGGGGCCCGTGAGGGGGGCCTACTGCGGGAGCGGTGCTTGACTTGAACAATCCCGAGGGCTTATTGCGGGATTAGCTTTGTAAAGGGGGGCCTATTTGCTCCCGCGCGGGCCCGCTTTAGAAGTTGAAAAACACCCCCCTAACCCGCGAAATTTGGAACGCACATGGGGTAATACCGGCATATATAGTGACCCCCCCCCCCGGGGTCAGTAGCATAAGCAATGACTGGCAGTAGCATAACTACCAACGGCCAGTAGCATAAGCAGTGACTGTCTTTGAAAGACAATGCCGCCGCCTTTAGTAATATTCTACAAAGGATCATGCGATGATCACAGAATTAGTTTGTATATAAAGTTTGCAGCGATATCGTTGTTTTTGTAATTGAAGTGTTAGCACCTGATAAGCTCATCTGTTACTCATTTGTAGACTTATCTGACCGTCGCCATTGTTGATCGAATGTACAGCAGCTTTTCACACGCTGAACAAATGCTAATTTGTTTCATCGCGGGACGCAAAACACAAATAACGAAATTCAAAATGGAGTGCTCAGTTCAACACGAGATTTTAATATTTAGTCGAGTATTTCCGATGCAAAAATACAACGATAACATTTGTTTGCCCTCTAATATCATTCAGTTATGATAATAAGCAACAACTAAAAGTTTGACTTAACATGATCAGAGTATTTTCGCACCGTATGATATACATCGTTTCCTCGGCATACGTGGTTCCACACTGACACTGTGCATACAATTAGTTACTGTGTGAAGCACCAATATTCGACTTTCAAACATCCTTTTAATTGAGCAATTTCAGAGTAAAACGTGGTCTCCCATTAACAGCAAAAAGTCAATTGTCCCATAAACACATGTACATATTTGGATTTTGAATAATCAATTCATACCACAGCACGAGCACCAACTGTACTGCATTAAAATTTCACATTGTATAATTATGTTTGTATTTAGAAGTAATAAACTTGTCTGACTGTACCCACTGTCACCGGCACCCGATTTTATCGCAGCTTAAACCACAGGCAAGTTCTCGTCACGTTTTCGTCTAACGTTCGTAACAGTTTCCCCCGTCTAGACCAGCACGACAATAACAGCAAGCGACTGATGTTTCCGTCGGCCATGACACCACGCCGTGTCATCGGTGGTCACGGCGCGGCGTCATCATGCCGCTGACGATTCGGCCGGGATTCAGACGTCCTCGATGTCCCCAATCTCCGCGACCGCTTCGATTTCGACTCGTCCGGCCTGCAAGGGGACGCAATCACATTAATTGCTGACGCACGCTTCCGCACAGACCCCGTAGCGGGACATCTGCCGTGAGTTTGATTAACAATCGCGCGGTTACGTGGGATTTTCATAAGGATCAATACACGCGCCACAAATTGTTCGACGGCAAACAGGAACATCGCCGCCGCGGTCACGAAAGGAATATACTTGCGCTATGCGCCTTGTGTTAGGTACAGCAGATTATATCGAGTGAAGAAAAGCAGTCAAGGCTGGATTTTGTTAGATATTGCAAACCAGCGTTACGCACATCAGTACTACATCAATGCAATGTAACGCTCACTACAAAAAGTGGTGTGCACCAAAAACTGACACGAATCTCCTTTGCAATCTACTCCATGTGTAGTGAGAAAGCCTAACGAAGTTAACACACATTTAGCTAACTGGTCTACATGTGATATTTTCAAGCCGCATGTAGCGTTTAAAGTTTGTGTGAAAACTGTGAGTACTTACCTTCGGTAAATTTGCCACCTGATATGCAACCCTGGCTGGACAGTGCTGAGTGAAATCTGTGAAATAGAACAAGTAATACACTTTTACTATTTTTAACTTAAAGTTTGATATCGATTACCATCGCCAGTAACACAGCTGCAGATGGGCACATGTATGTGCAAATATAAGTAAACAGACGAAATTGATTCGTTTTCAGCCCTTGTGAGCAATAGCAATAGCACAAGACTGTTGACTCATTAGGCTGCTTTCATGCAACGTTCTGCTCACTGAAACTCTCTTACCAAACAAGAACGGTATTGATGTTCTATGAGACATATGTTATATATAAACAGAGAATTCCAAACATGTAGTGGTCTTACACTTTTTGTAGACTTCATTGACCTTAGCAAAATCGTTGATATCAGCAAAGAGCACCGTTGTCTTGATAACTAAAAGAAGTGACCACACGAATCATTACATGGCTGAAAATATTTATTAGAAATGCCATGAACAAATGATTTGAACATACAATTCTAAGCTATTAAAATAGTTTTAAAAATATCAAAAGTTTACCTTTAATACTTTTAAAATTTAGGTGTATAAGGAGAATCTCCCCTTTTAACTTTTACATCAATATGTTAGAATTTTGCTTGATTCCTGTCTTTGGAATAAAGCAGAAAATTTGTCATCCTTTAGATGAAAAATATTATTACAAGAAATAAATAAAGAGGCTGTATACTATTACAAAACTTTATCAAGCTGGATTGTACAGGTTTAGATGTAATAAAACTATATATTAATACACACCATTATTGAAAGAACAGCCAGCAGCTTTCAGGATCTCGCCCATGTTGATGAGTGCCTGAAAATAAGAATAATGAATTAAAGGCTAAAGATTTATTTTTCATTTTATTTGGAGATATACTCTCGGGAGCTAGTAACTGCATGTAAGCGACTCATTTGTCCCAATATGTAACAGAAAAAGTGTCTAAATCCCCTCTTTAGATTGCTGGTAGCTGATAGCTGAGTCAATATCAAAGTACTGTACTACATCAAGGGCACTCTCATGGCGGTATTAAAAGATCCATGTGGTTGTTAAAGCTTAGTGCTGATGCATGAAGGGGTCGTTGTCATATCAAGTACTACATATATGTGCCCGAGGTACATATATGTATACACAAAGTGTACCAGACTTGTACTACAGAAGTGTATACCCTAACCGTAACCCCAGGGGCGGCGCGTACGGGGGGGCCGGGGGGGCCCGGCACCCCCCCACTTTTTTGGCCAGAAATTATGTCTATATGGTATTTTTGTGTATGCATCGGAAAGAATGCAAGAAGAAAGAGGAATAGGAGGAGAGGAAGGGGGGAGATGGCGAAAGAGAGCTGTTTATCACATTTTCACTGCCTACTGCGAAATTTACAAGTTTTCGAGAGTCTCTAGCTTGGACTTACTATATAGCAAAACAGACATGCACAGCCGCGTATTTAGCCCAATACCCTAGTGCGGACTTCTGGGGCCTGATCCTGTGCTTCGGAGGCTCGATCGAGGGTCAAATATCAGTACCGTACTTGCATATGACCCACTGTACTTTTACTGCATCTACGCACTGCGTAACGCACATGCCTTAAGCTACGCGCGCAGCCACGCAGAGCCTAACGCACGCTGATAACGCCAGTGCGGTATACGGGACCGTACCCGGCGGGTACGTTTCCGGCAGTAACGTTGGGGGACATTAGACCTATGAGCGTTAGTTTATGTTATATTTATATAGTTCCTTTTTTCTTTTTAGTTTACTTTGCCACTTTAGTTCTTAAGTTTTTTGTAATATAAATAGTTGATGTTATTCTTTTATTGCTAATATACCTAGCAGCTTGGGTTTTTAAGGCAAAATGTTGTCGAGCACATGAGATAAATAAAGAAAGTTTAGATCGAGTTTGGATGTTATAAGTGTCTTAAATATCATTCAGCAATGTTATTTTTGACTATATTAGAGGTTTGGAAGAAAATGGGAAATTTCTGTCGCCCTGCAAAAAGATTCACTATTTCATATTTCTTTTTCCTTATTACATGTATTCATTTATTGATGCCAATTATACATTACTATTAGTAGAATGCCTACATAGAACATGCTACTGAAAAAGGTGTTTTATTTCCGTTTTTCTTCCCATTTTAAAAAATTTTGAAATTTTCACCTTCGAATGATGCACCAGATCGCTCCATTTCAGGCAAAAATTGAAAAAGCTCCCACACCACCCCCGCTCCCGGTTCGCCTTGGCTCTCTCGCCTCGTGGGTTTTTTTTCGCGCCCAATAACTCAGCCCCCCCGGCATGGTTGCTTCATTCTCTCCAATTGCGGCCCCCCCCACTTTGAAAACTCGTGGCGCCGCCCGCTGAAACCCTTAACCCTAAACATACCCTCATATAAATATAAACATAATACTAAACAAAGCCTAATAAAACTACCTCGGGTACATATATGTAGTACCTGTCATTACGATCCAACGCACCTCTTCGTGCCGCTGCCAGGGTCGCTATGTCTCCCTGGGTACTGCACGGGGAACGTACCCTGGTGCTTATCTAATATGCCGGACCGTAACCTCGGCCTACTCCACTAACGACGTCTAGGGAGCTCGCCTAGCGCACTCTAACCCTAACCCTCAACCATTAGCTGATAGGGTCTATGCCCTCAGGGTACTGCCAGAACGTACCCTTGGTACTAAATACTACTATCTAATATGCCGGATCGTACCTTGCCATACTCACTAACGGAGTCTAAGGGAGTCGCCTTACGGCCTACTCCTAACCCTAACCCTAACCATCTTTCAGCTAGGATAGTTACCAGGGTCACGTTCAGGCAGTACCTCTGCGGGACATGAGACCCTATGAGCCTAACCGTTATCAGATAGTATACCAGGTACGTTCCGGCAGTGCATTTTTCATTAGTTCGCTTATTTATATATATGGTATTCTAAAAACCAGACCGCCTATATATATGTAGAGCAGGTAGGCTACGGGTCACGGGTAGCGCTGCGACTATCATTAATATGTGCTCGTAGGCTACTGGGTACGCGGAAGATCCATAAATCGCTTATCCCATACCCTTAAACGACGACAAACTTATCCGGCGCGGGCGCACAACCAGGAACATCCGCCCGCCAGGATATCAGAACCAAAAAACCGCCCCATTGGAAAACTCAAAACTAAATCGATCGATTTGAGAGGTCTAAGCATGAGCTCAAGAACCCTAACAATCTAACCCTCAAACCACTAAACCCCCTAACCATAAACCCTACCCCAACATAACCTAAACGCCAAAAAGCACGGCTTCAACAAGAAAACCGCACGGGGGCTACCCGTACACGTGCAGGCCACCCTGACGATCGGTATATTATGTTCTGACAGCCGCGGTTGACCACCGAGGAGAACTAACAAAAAAGTACCATTACCCTT